CTAAGGGACTCACTAACATTAGGTCTAGGCATAACCAACAGACCGCCTTCAAGACACATAAAGGCCTACCTTCCACTTTTCAAAAGAAATTCAATTCTCGACTTACGGCGCCAATTAGGGCTATAAGGATGAATCGTGGTCTTCGAGGGCGTGTTACATTAAGCCAATAGCAGGCTTATTCAAACGTTCATGAAGCATTTCAGAGTTGACATGTAACGATAGACCGACTGGAGGCCTGTTTCGCGTTTGATGAACCATTTCAGTGGGACGTGGAATGTTAGGCCTATTTGGAGTTCCTCGAACCACCTCGAATAGGTCCGATGAGAGAATGCCTTCAAGAAGCATGGAATCCATGGTGCTCGCCATCCTGTTAATTCAAGGATGTCCGGATAAGATATCTGCATATCCCACCACATCGAACAATAAATGCTAACCACAGCTTCATTCTCAGCTGAACTCATGAACTCAGCATGAAAATATTTCTTACATGGAAAAATAGAAGATCCAGATGCCGATACGAAGGTTAAAACAGTCTTGAATCCGGTATAATTTCGGCACAGTATCCGACAACCCCAGGGGACGGTACAGGAGTAAGCACTTTGAGTATATTTGAGCGACAACTAATTTCATATTTTATGGTGAAATGAAGCATCGCCAACGACAAAAATGCGACTTTTCGTCATCTACGAGGCAATATCTTTCTCATAGTTGGTCTCTTCCCCCCGAAAACCCTCCAGGAGTGGCTGCCCAGGGGGAGAAAAAAAAACGAAATGAAATTCACCTCCTCCAAAAACAAGATTCACTGTTCTACATAACCCAAGGGAGATGTTGCCTCAAATTTGCTGGAGCGATTCTATGGTGAGAGAGGAAGAAGTATGGCAGATTTCGTTGGTGTTGATCCTCTCAGTGAGGAATACGAAGAAGTTGAATTTTGTTGCGAGAAGGGGATGAAGAAAGGTAATAGGGGCTACCGTACCTATTGATAAGGCAAACATAGCAAGACCTATGACAGTAGTTTAGCTGGAAAAAAAAATCATTAACATGCAACCGTGGTTGAAAAGAAAGGTCGATGTCAACAAGACCGGTAGCAGAAAAATCGTATCGAGATCATTCGAAAGCGCTCTTCTTAAAATTCTGGACGGTGATGAAATCCAACAATTGGAAAAGTCCCGGGTTCTGTGAGCTGTGACGATGGTGTAAAGATCTACAGCGGATTGCGTAATAGTTCCACGTCTAAAGAGCAAAAGTTCACATTTGAGAACGTCCGAAAAATTCCGAGGAAAGAATAGGCTTTAATTTTGCCATTTATATTGCGCAAAAAACGTCCAGAATGATAGCGAACACTTTTCTTCTGATTTTCACATAGTCATGCCATTCCAAAGAAACTCGGAATTTGTTCAAGAAATGAGCCTTCCCTTGTCGTTCATTGAAATTCATCTAATTTTTTACTTGTTTCTGTTCATAGTCGGAATCGGTTGTTCAGATTGAGAAATGAATTTTCACGTATTCCCATGGGACGTTTGGATTCTCCGCTTCAATCAGAAACTCACATATCGCGTTTCTTACTCGATGATTCCTCACTTTCCTCCTAACGTACCATGTACTTTCATCTGCCTCAACGGTGAATTATCTAAGCAATAATTAATATACGAGGGTATAATATCCTCCAAATAGATAGTACCTCGCTCACCTCCCTCGTTTTCACTCTGTCCCTTCTCATAAGGAGATCATGGAAGCCTGAGTTACCCAAAGTCGCATTATGAATAACTTGTTATTATGGACTTGAGGTATGGGCCGCCAGAACCTTGACAATTTTGATTCTCTTCATAAGGCAAGGCGTGCAGAATTTAATAATACTTCGCCGAACGGAGAGGACAAACCATCGCGTTCGTCGTTTTACCAGTGGCCAGGAAATTAACATGAATGAACTTTCATTTTGGAGATCAAATGCCTAAATCCCCTTTTGTAAAGAGGACGTACATGGGGGATATCGTTGGTAAGTCAAACTTCGAATCAAATAAGTCAGATTTAAGAGATCGTATCTATGCTGCTGTTAACACCTTACTCCGGACATGCTGAACATCCTGAATGTTCAGCAAAACAACGGATCGATTGCAATTAGGGTAATTTGGGGGAATATGGTCCTACAAAATGAAACCTTGTCATCATGGTCCATCAAGGTCGAATTTGACTTTTACAATGTTTCTAAAATATTGATATCTCCTTTGCTAAATGCCAGCAAGGCGTAAGCAAAAAAACCAAGGTTATGGCGCCATTGTGTCTTTTTTGAGTAGGTCTCAAGAGGCCATATTAACCCTATAGTTGGGGGAATATGGCCACTTCTGAAAAACAACTCCAGATTGTCCAGGAACGTGTGAAATGCGCTGGAACATGCCGAGTACGTTGAAACATGATAAAGGACTCTCAGCAGTTGAAAAAGAAACATTAACCTCACCGAGGACAAACAAAGAAGTCGACATTATTACCTGACTCAAGGAACCTTTGTGGAAAACAGGATTGCAACGCTTTTGCTTCTGAGTAACAATGCACGTGATTGGGAGACAATATCTAGAGACTGTGTGTGTGTAAGAGGAATGATCAAGCATAGATTAAAGTGACTATGCGCCAAGAGTTTAAAATAAGAGGTCTTACATTGCAGGAAAAATGTTGCATTGTTTTTGCATGTATGGATAAATAGTGCCAAAAATCACAGAATGCCCTATTTTTACGAGGGACATTTACTGGGATTCAAGTTTCGTGCAATATGAATTCCTGGAGAATTTCAAGCGATGCAGAAGGAGGTGCATAAGCATACCCTCATGCACGGCCTCCTCATGTACTGCATAGGAGGTCACAGTGGACACCAAAATATCTCTGATAATTTTTTGCTCTCTATTATTATTTCATAGTGCAATAAGGAAAGAGAAAACGTGTAGACATAGGCCGTGATGCGCGCTGCGAGGAGGCCTGTGGTCAAATAGCTGAACAACCCCAGAAACGCTCTCGTGAAGAATGCTATAGTGTCAATATTGCCCTGTTTTGGATCAAGATGGACTTCACACGGATGGTCACTATGGCCCCCTCCGCCTCTCTCATCTCCCTTGAGCATACCCTTCTTCCACTGTTCTTCGAAAACGCATAATGGTATGAAAATTCCTCTGAAAGCTTCATCATTTTTTTGAAAGCATGGGAAGACCTCCTCTGCACGTACAATCAGAATCCTCTTCTTTGCCCTGTTGGAGTAGCCCTATTTGAATTAAAACCATGCATCAGCTGCATCAGAAGGATCTCAAATAGGGAGAAAAATCCCTAATTATTGGAAAGGGAGTGCTTTCTTATGAAGCAAGCTCTCATATGGTAAAGAAGTTCATGCATTACGGTATTTCGGAGCAATACAGATGAAAAATATCACACTTAAATCAAATAACAGAGAAAAATATTCCCCCAATACGTTATTCGGATCGGGGAATTATTATTATTATTACTTATTAGCTGTAGTCGCGCTTTTGGCTCTCCATTGTCCAGGATGGTGATTCATTCATTAATTCATTTTCGAAAGGGCAAGAAACGTATTATAAGTAAGTGGCTGTCGAAATGTATGCCATAGAGGAGGAATCACAATTTCCATCGAAACAATTACTCCGATTATTTCTTGCGCACGTAACTTGAAATCCCTATATAATTTGTCCTAAAGGGACACATGGGAAAAGTAGGATCTGCACTTAGCACTCGAACAGGTACGTCTGCTCCAAGTTTAAAAGTGTTTCCGTCCTCTCTTTCATTGGATCAAAAGAGATTCGGGAAAAAGCACCTGTTGCACAAAAAATTGTCATCAGGGGCTCTACCTGAAAAATAATTATTTTACTGAAAGCAGTACTCCGAGAACAACGTCCCAACTAAGTTTCAGTCTCATCAGTTAGCCCTTATTGCTGGTGCAAAGGAATATTAGGAAAAACCGATCTAGCCAATAGCTGTGCCGTGAGGGGATGCACAGCAAACGTGGAGTTTCCTTCCTAACTCAGTATCACCTCACTTACGCATGTGTCAAGTTTCACCTTTCTATCTCTGCCCAATTCGGTAAGACGAAAACATCATTTTAGAATATCACCCTAAAAAAATATTCCCTCAGGGCATACATTTGAAACTTGACATTTTTCCTGAGGTTAGTGTCTCAATAGGCAGGTTCATACCATGTTTCAGCTTTCCATGTCTCAACGTTTGACTGAAGCGCGAATATTTCTTTGAATATATCTCCCACCAAATTTTGTGCCGCCAGGGCATGCGCACATTGTACTCATGTGTTAGAAATAGCGTACTAAGTCACGATCTTCTAAATATATTATATATTATTATTTCTCTATTCATTTATAGAGAAAAAAAAAGCTGCCACAGGGTTTCAGAGGGCAATGCATCTTTGGCATGTCAGTCTTGCCTTTATTCTTCACATAGGCGTGGTGGGGGGGGGAGAAGCTATGACATTAGAATCCCTTCAAAACGCACGAGTTACTTGCACTGGCAGGAGGGAAGTTGATGGGCCGAAGAGGCCATGCACTCTCACCCGCTCAAGTGTGAATACCTAAGCGGAGAATGCATTGCACCGAGGGTTTTTTGAAGGTCCCTTCTTCCACACAATGAAGTTGAAGACGGAGGTTCACATGGATCTAGACCAAGGGTTTTAAACAAGGTGGTTCATCCGGACCCCAGTCCGTTCTTGAAGTTTCCGTTTGGATTGACTGTTAGCACAAATTTCTGTGAAAAATTATAGGTGCGGGCCGCCGACCGATTTGAGTTTGACACCCCTGATCTAGACGATGCAAGACCACTAAAAGCACCCATCTCATCTCGGCTGAATACGCATTTCGGTTTTGTAGACGCCTTCCGAGAGATCAGGCTCTGTCGAGAAAATATTGGTATTAATCAAAATTCCAGTTGAAGCATTTCCGAATTGAAAAAAATAATCGAAATGGAAAAATTCATCGAAGTGTATCATTTCGATTTATCGACTTCTCTGAATGCACTGTATATGTACAATACTTATTCCGTGGGGTTCATTCCAACGGGACTCATTCAAATGGCACCAGGGTTATTTCAGTCCGAGTAACCCGCAACATTTTAAAACAAAGGAGTTTAATGCATGAATTTCCTGCCTGCACTGTTCATGTGGAGGTAAGCATCGATTAGTGTATTATACACGGCTGAGGTTAACTTCCTAATATGTAGATGAGAGACGGTCATTTGCATTTCATTCCGGTGTGTCGCACTGAGTACCGAATCTGGTCGGGGAAGTGGCATGCGACGGCATCTGCGAAGGATATCAAAACAGATAGCAAAATGTCAAAAAAGAAACTAAAAGAAGAAAAGTAAAAATCATGAAATTCCTACTTCTAAAACGGCGAACCCAAAATGATACTGTTGATCGCTGAAAATTGATTTAATCGAATACCCTTCAAAGTAATAAAAAAAAAGAAAGTGTTTCTTGCTTGCTGACTTGAAGGAATACAATCATTCTACTTAAATAGAATCATTTCAAGAAAGGGATTTCCACACTCTTATATCACGAATATAGCAACGTTAAATATTTCCCGTCAAACCTAGCCAGGAGTATGAAAAGTGGTTTCTGTTCATTAGCTAGCAAGATGCACGAAGCTCGTATCTGTTTTAATTTCCCTTGACATTTTTTTAACCCTTTGGATCAGAAAACCAGACCTCAACTGGAACCTGAAAGATAATCTCAACCCTGAATCATGGCTCACAGTGAGGTTCATGCGGCAGATCCAGCATTGCTCAATATCATTCGACTCATCCTAACCCTGCCCACAAAGGGCGAAGAGAAATAAAACTCACTACCGAGGCAGACGGGCTCCTTGCTGGGATGGAAGTCGTTGGCGACTCGGACCGATATGTAGATGGGGTCGCACTCCCGGTTCCGGCTGCATGGGTGCTTCAATTCGATCATGACCTTCTTGTCCCTCTTCGCATCCGACGTGTTTCCGCAGCCATCTTCCTCGGGCTGCAGTCGACCGAAGTCGAGGACGTAGCGACCCCAGCACACGGTGAGGTTGCTGGTTGAGTCGTGCGCTTTAACCTGAAAAAAAAATCCCAACAGAATTCGTCTCGATGAGACTTTGAACCCGTTTTAAGACCTGGCCGCACGAAATCCCAATTAACTACAATAGAACCGTAAACATATTTGATGCAAAAGGAAAGGAGGCAAAAGTCGCAATATTTGGTAATGCCCCAAACGCGACCAATGTTAATAGGGATATTAACATTGATGATATTAAATGCTCTTGGTAAGCTTAGGTTGCGTCTTGTCACATTGTATAACGCCTGCGTCTGATGTTCTCCTTTGTTTCGGCGGGTTTCGCTCAAAATTTCCGAGTCTTTTATTAACAGTTATTCACTTTCGAAGAAATTCTCGCGAAAGGAGCAATCTTATATTTACGCCGTATTTTATTCTATGTGCTGCATATCAAAGAAACGAACTATAACCTTCATTTTATCTATTATATACACATATAATTGCACTCACTCACTCATACTGAACCCACCTAAAAAGGTTATAAAAAAGTAAAAGTCGTTTCGGGTCTCTGAATGTCTCGGGTTTCATGTACGCTTGTACGGAGGATTCTTCGACTAAAAAGAAAAAATGTTTATTTTCAGTTGCATCATAAGTGGGGGAGGGAAATATTTTTTCGGAGGAGATTTTTTTTTTTTTTTTTCTATTGGAAATCGTGCGAAAGTATGAGGCACTCTTGACGCCTGTTGCAATGATGATTTCATTTTTTTTAATTACAAATTTGAACCACGGTTTCTGGGAAGAACGATTTCCGAAATACAATTTCGTCCAACTTGAAAGAGAGGCAAAAACTCCTTGTTACCCAAGGAGTTTCATCACAAGAATCGAAAATTGATATTTGAAATAAAATAATTAATTTTCTTAGTCTTGAATACCGAAATGCGCGACCATCCGGAGTGTGTAGCGAGCAAATGAATATTGTAGCTCATTACGGCACTCTAAATTTACTTCTTTACTTTTGAATACTTTTGCAAAGGTAGGAAAAGAATTGCAGTGATTTTCTTATATTCGCACACCAGAAAGAGGAAAATTAAGAATTTACCTTGAATACGAGATTATCACTGCCATTCAACCAGGAGCCATGGTACATCATATACCGTGTGGTCCCCGGGACGAGGAGTCCCCTGAAGATGTTGTCTTTCCCGTCGCTGATGCTCTGGCCGCATCCCGGGTATACCATCCTGGTGGGAACTGGAAAAGTAAATTGAAAAGGGCGTCCCCGTCGCCTTCTATTTCGCCTTCTGAGAATTCATAGAACTTTTTAGGTGGCAAAAGTTACTGCAGAGACATATTGGAAAGGGGCCACAACGCCTTCTGAGAGTACCGCTGTGTCCACCCACAGAAGCGTTTAGCCAGGGTCGGTCGCAGAAAGCACTGCTTGTTGAGACGAATATCTGTAAGGAAAATCAATAAATTTTTGTCAACACAAAGCTGACAGCAGTTTAAATTTTTAAAAACTTATTTATCCCCTTTCATCTTGCGTAAGACATGTCCCTCCCCATCTGCAGTACAAAAATATGCTGATCTTCATGGCGGATGGAAGGAAAGAAAATGTCAATGATGATATGTCGACATATAATTGAGATAATAACTACTGGCAAACCAATTTTTGTTTAACAAATTCCACATTTCAAGAGTGAAAAAATGCCTTGTACCTACCTAATACAGACTTCCTTATGAGAAAGATGACGAATCCTACGTTGCTAAAGGAATAATTATTCACCGATTCAGTATGAAAAATATATTTCGACTCTTGCGGACGTTTTGACCTGGAGATCAAGGACAGAATAAACAATGCAGCCTGCAGCTTCACGTTAATTTAAATTTTCGCTATCCAACATTGACACGAGTTTCCTAACTGTACAGTTACCCCTTTGATCGGATATCATATATAATACCGGGAAAGTCTTTGATGAAATCCCGAACCATCTTCTCCAGCGTCAACACGCCCTTGTCACTAGACTCGGGCTCGCTGCTCGGCACGACGAAGAGGACGACCTTGCCGTTCGTCCCGCCCAGGTTTTGGTCCCGCTCGAACTTGCGTTCCTCCTGGAACCGGCGACGGACTTGCGCCATGGCGTCCCCGAAGTCAAAACTCGAACTGACGTTTCCTGAATATTTTAACAAGACCCACCAAGGTCGGTCGGTCTTCAGACCGCGGAATCAAAAGTCCAGAAGACGTACTGAAATCCGTTTTGAGCAGCTTGAAGGCAAACCCCCCCGGGTTGAACTCCTGTCCCAAGTCAAAGACAGACGTCGAGGTATTCCTCCGGTTGTCGGAGATGTTGAGGGCAACCCTGTTCGTTCCCATGGGGGCCAGGTTGTCAGCCAAGTGCTCTAGCGACCTTAGGTTCCTAATAACAACTCAACTTTTCTCAGAAAATAATAGGTGAGTCCTGAAAAAGAAGGATCCTTGAAGAAAAAAAGATACAACATGAAGCAACATGAATATTCACAAAGGGCAACCATACTCGGTGAAATGTATATCTTTATTTTCTGACTTTCATATTTTATTACGAGCAGGATTTGTATCCGAATGAAAATAATCTCCTTGGAGACCTCGTTATGCAATTCCTCTAGACGATACATTTCTTCGGATGAAATGCTCATTAGCTTTCAAGGAAAACACTAAATAATTGTTTCTTAATATCGTCGAATATAACTGAATTGGCAGTGGCAATTGCAACGGTTCCGGTTACAAAGATGACAAGTCATAACGATTGCAACTTCAAAATATTTAATAGAATTTGCATGATACTCTTAAAAATTACAATTAGCATCTAACTTGCAGCTGGTCACATATCCAGCAACGAACGGTGTTCCAAATTTTCCCAACTCTCCGAGCAAAATTGGAGCAGATGCACTTTCCAGATTCGCAGTATTTGCATGCAAAAACCACACCAGTAAAAAAAAAAGTTTGCTCTGTTCGCAAAACTGCGAAAGCGGGAGTAACGACGTTGAAATTAAAAAAATTTATTATTAGAGTTGATAGGAAAGATACCAGAGCTTACACCACTACTTCCTTGGCCTCCAGAAGTTCTTGTTCGCTACCGTCCATGTCGAAAATGACGTACAGGTCCACGTTCGGAGCCGGTGGGTGGTTCTTGCTATCCCGGCACATCGTTCTGCAGGACGTAGCCTTGCTTTGCTCTGATCTCCGGAAACGAAATGATTTAGCGGATGGAAAGCTCGATGGACATATCGAACATTTCGGTACTTACGAACGAACTCCCAGTACTGCAGAAAAACTTTCTGGACTGACTCATTGATTCTGGATATGATGGAGGATCCCCGTGGCGGAGGGAGGAGACCGAAAGACTCCAGGTAGAGAGCATACGCCATGACATGCGTCTAGGGAAAGAGGTATCCGCGCGGTGGAGGTCAATTTTTCAATGAAAATGAAAGTATAAAAAGTGTAGCCGGAATGACACTGTTCGCTTGCAATTCATGCTTGCAATCCTTCCCGCTGTTTACTATTTTTTTTTTAAGTGTCAGGGGCTGTTGACCTCTCTACCTGAAACTCTGTTGTCGTTCAGTATGAGTCCGCTTGCGGCAAAATAACTCGAGGTCCGCGCAAATGTGAAGGGGTTGGTTGATTGGCTGCCGATTCGGTTCAGAGACGTGATTCCTGACATGGAATTTTCCTGTCCTGCATACTTGTTCTTGAAATTATTCCACAACGGTATCGATACAGGCTTCAACAATATTGCTCCTTGCTGTTATGAGCATCCAAATGAATCTGCACCAAAATTGCGAATCGACACGTACACAGCAGAAGCTCAAGATACGAGACAAGCGAATTACTTCGAAAAAAAACCCTTTCGCAGAACTAGAGAAGGTGAGGTCATCAACCACATGGGGCATGCACGTCTCATAAAGTGTGAATGAGTGTTCGTTTCTTCGCTACTTTGCCTCCCATTTTGAGCCCGGCACTTTCCATTCTGAACGTGAACGTCTTTCGCGTGAACTGGACAGGAGGGCAGCGCATCTGTCGCGGTCACTGTCACACGGTCACTGTCTTCTTCCTTTTGACCTTTTCAATTTTTCATGTTATAATACCTTTTTTTCCCCTTGATGTATGATGTCTGATGGTTTGATAGATGGAAGTTTCCTTTTCCACTAACCCTTCTTAATCAGAAAAAATCACCAAATGAGAAGTGCTCTCTCTCATTACATATTCCGTGTCTGCTTTGATAATCACATGGAAACGAAATGGAGCTGCGATGGGAACTTGATTCTACCAACCCTATCTTTCGTGGTTCAAAATATCATTTGGAAAAGGTACCTGACTGCTCAATTCTGCCCTATAGGCTTCGATGAGATTGAATCGGTTGCAGGCTCCAAAGACGCGATCCGTGTTGAGGGAGACTCCTCGGTCGGAATAGTACATTTCCAGGATCTGCGATAGCTTCAAGGAGCAACTATTCCAGTCCTTGATCCTTACTGCCAGCAACAGCCCTGAGGACGAAACGTTTTCCAGGTCAGCATAAAAATGATGGACACTTTCGTGAAGGTGAAAATGCGGAAACGAAGATCCAATCCTCGGAGTAATCTGATGACACGATCGTGTACAATCGGCTGACCTCGCGGCGTTACGGACGTCGGGTAGATACCTCCGCGATTGGATCTAGGTGGACTCGATAAAGAAGAGTTAGACTCCTTAGGAGGCCGTGTGACGACGAGTTTCGAAGGCTACGCTACCCCGACAGTGCCAACTTGACTTCTTTACGAGCACACGCAAGATGAGAAAAGCTGGGCTTGCTCACCGTCGATGCCTCCGTGGAGTTCCGCGTGCGTGGCATGGGAGACAAGGTCCATCTCGTCGGCCAGGGCGTACTCCGATGGGTAGAGCCTGCACGAGGAGGTCCCATTCACCTGCTCTTGTTCCCCCATCCGCGTGAGGGAGTTCCACGTGCCCGATGGGCCGATCAGTTGTTGCGAGCCGTTCGCCGACGCGGCGTCGTACGCGGCTGCCTCTGCCAAATCACCTGTGCACAATTCCAAGTCTACTGATTCATACGTGAGCAAAAGCACGTAGTCAGAATTGTATGCTGTCCATTTGAACTATCCCATGGAATCTACTCACTTCCACTCATCTTTAGCAAGCCTGATGGGTTCGCTTAGCTAGCCGAACATGGTCATCTCTACTTTAAAGTTTCCATTTATTCAGTTTTTAATAAGCACAAAAGATCGGATTCCTTGTCAGGTCCACGCCAAAAAAATAGACGCGGCTCCGGTTTTTGTGAAAATTGGTGGAATCCAAGGGCCTCTTAAAAAATACACCTAAATAGTCAGCTCCCCTTCTCAGGTATTTCCCATGGCGCAGCGTTGTGAATGCTTCCTGAAGCAACTTTTTTTTTCTTTGGGGTTGGGGGGGGGGGGGGGGGGGGGGGGGGGCACCCCCTTCCTGAAGCAACTTTTTTTTTCTTGGGGGTGGGGGGGGGGGGGGAAGGCAGTGGTCATCACTCACAATAAGGCTCCGTTCACTCTAAGAAATATGCCCCCCAAAAATATATTGGAAATTTGACATTTAACATTTGAGCTCAGTGAGTTAGCACACGTTGTTGCCGAGCTTCAGCTTTCATTGTGTCTCCGTTTGATTGAAGTAAAGAGAACTATTTGAAAATATGTTCCCTGAAAAGGTGTGCCCCTATGGCATGTATCACGAAAGTAGAATTGTTCCTGAACTCAGCATTTGAATAGCTACTTATGTCAGTCAGTCAGATACGATCATCTATAAATATATATATTACAAATGAGAATTTAATCTTTACTCAGCTATCCATCAGGTGCTTTGCCAAGTTTAAACTTATTGCGCCCTCCGTTTTGCTGGATCAGAAAATTCAAGAAAATACGCCTTTTGCAAAATATGTGCCCTCAGGCGTTTTAACCGAGATGTACCAGTTTTTTTTTTAACGAAATCAAACCTAGGTGAACTACATGCCCACAAAGTTTCGATCTTTCACGTTTACCCTTTTCTCAGGTGAAAAATCATGTTTCAAAAAGCGGACCCTCCCAAAAGCTATGCTCGGAGGGGATACACCATGAAAGCTGAATACTCCCTCAACTCAATAATATCATGTCACTTATATGTGTGCCAAGTTTCACAATTCCATGTCTGTCCATATCGTCAAGACAACATTTTTTCTTCAAAACATCGCCCCTCGAAAAGCTTCCCACAGGGGTTATGTTGACACTTAATACTTCTCTATAGCTCCTTGTTTCAGCAGTCACACTCATGCAAAGGCTCAGCATTCTATGTTCATCAGTTTAACTGATGCAAAAAAATTAGCTGGAAAAACCTCCTTTTGAAATTTGTCCCCCCCGGGCATTTACTTCCAAAGTCTGAAGTTTTCTACAACATCCCAAAAGATAGTTATGTACAAAGTTTCATCTTCCCACACTGACTCAATACGCCATGACACACAAAAAATACTTCAAAACGTCGGCTCACAAAAATATGCCCCCAGGACATGGATCTAAAATTTTGCATTTTTCCTGAACTCATCATCCCAGACACATAAATTCCAAGTTTCAGCTTTCCATGTCTCTCCATTTTACTGAAGCAAAAATAATGTTATGGAGGGGGAATGAGTAACGGGACATAGAAGGAAAAAAAGCCGAAAGAAAGCCAAGGAATAGCCTAAGAATTGAACCCGGACCTTCTGATTGCCAGTTAGATATGCTACTACTACACCTCCGAACCCAGCACGTCCAGTTAACTTTCTGAATGCCATCCTCATCTGTCACGAAACATATTTAAGGAAAACGTTTCCCCCCAAAATTTGTACCCCCAGGGCATGTACCTCCAAAGTCGGATTTTTTCTGAACTCTTTTTTCTGAACATGGTACATGTGTACCAAGTTTCACATTTCTAACCTTTCTAGAACATGGTTAGAATTAGCGTCAGTTTGTCAGTCAGTCACGGTCGTCTATATATATTAGATACCAATGGTCCAGAAAACTTGTTACATTTTGGACTTGGTTTAGAAACACTCGCAGAGGCACAACACGTTCCCTGAGGCAAAATTGTAAATAAAGTACTCATCGGTATCTTGATCGTTGGCTAATGTTACAGACTAGTGTTAGGATTTGTAACATATTGTAACTATTTCTGATATTGAGTGCAAATTGGAAATATGTTTTTTTCCGGAAATATGGTGGGTAAACGAAACATATTCTCTGGCACCGAGGTCCCGCTTTTTAACCTCATGACAACATGAAGAAAACTGTTCCTGAATTAAAATAAGTTCATGTGAAGAAATTAATGCGAACCGGCGATGGTAGCAGCGTAGTAGGCCGTGATGCTCTGCGATCCCTGGCTACCTCTATGTCCTTCAGAATTGAGGTACTTGACAATTTCGCTCTCGTCACGGAAGAGGTCGGCCACTTTGACATTGGCGACCCTGTCCCTGACGGCGAGACCCATGAGGACTTGCCCGGCGGCCACCGTTCCGTAGTCCGTGTAGATCACGCCGTATTCCAGCGGGTGGAGGCTCTTCTCGTAGTCTGGGGTGGTATTGCGACCTTTCGCATGGCGCTTGCTGCAAATCAATGCCAAAATGCATCTCCATCATATACAGTATATTAGGTATAGCATTTCCGGTAATATATGACAAAAATTGAGCCTATTAAAAATATTTTAAGACCGGGCATCATGCGTGCAAACTTCATACAGATGTTCGCATATTTATTAACTCCTGTGAGAATACCAAATTTAGTACATTCGACGTTGCATCACCAAACCATTTTTTTAAATTACATTTGATATGCTGAAGCGTTTTTTTCCGAGACATATGCAATTAGGATGCCAAATGGATTATTTGTCCTGATAAGTTCAATTGCAATGTTGAAATCTTGGTCTGAATCTTATTTTTCTCCTGACAAGTGCGAATATAATCTCAAGGATGACATTTTCATATCTAAAGCGTGTCCTCCCAATCATCGAAATGCTTTTCAGACTCACTGTCTTCCATCCCGATCGTGACAGCCTTCAACCTCCTCGGGCCGCCTCGTGTCGTTCAGGCTGTGCGAAAGCATCCAGTGCAGCGCGCACTGCGAGAAGAGGTGGAGGCGTCAAGTTTCACAATCGGAAAATATATGTGAAATATTCATGCTGTACTTGTATTCACTGGGTAACATGAGGAATAAATTGAATACAAAAAAAAACTAAATATATCGGAAGTCTCAAATTATTGTGGAAAAGAATTTGTATCTGAACCCAGTGAAAAATTTTTTTAAAAAGAATATCAGAAATCCACTCGGAAAAGAGTTGTACCATGTTAGTTCGCAATAAAATTCATTATCTGAGGGAGTTTGAAAGTGTAACCGTCCAAGGTAACATTTGCATATATTTACGAGTCAACACTGACATGTCGGCTGCGAATTTTCGTGCTTTATTGACCCTACCAAGTGGCACATGTCACTTCAGAAAATACCACACCATTCGTCACGGGTTGAAAATGTGTTGGAGGGTGCTGAAAAAGTGTTTGAGGGAGTCGCTAGGAGATGGGAAGGGTGGTGGCATGAGGAGTGTGGGAGCGAAGTGAGGGGAGGTGTTGGAAGGCTGAGTGTTGGATGTGCAGTTGGCAGGCAGGTTGGAATAGACGCTGGGGTTGTGATGAAAAATGTGTTTGCACCTACACCGCAATTGGATGGGCACCTTTAATGGAGAGTGTTGATGGAATAATTTCCAACTCTCGGATAATATTGCGGAAGCAGAGTGCAATGTGATGAAAGTACTAGAGACAAATATATGAAATCGAGAATAACAACGGTTCCTACTGTGTTGCATAATATTCAAATCATATTCACTCGCTCCCTTAACGTTGGTTTAATATCATACTGATCCATGCCAAACCATATCCAGAAGCAGTCCCGGAGATAGGATATGATTTTATGTAGCTTTCCACCTAAGGAAGGGATTATCTCCACGTCTGTATTGCAACAACCTAGAGCAATCAACATGTGGATTTCCAACAGGGTGGGATTTGAACACCCAACGAAATCAACTCTGTTGCACCAAAACGTGTCGAATGGGTGTGGGATTTTCATAAGTCGGAGTTAAAACAGGCTTACACACCTCCTACGTAGTGTCAGGAAAAATATTTTCCTGGAAACTCAAGGAATCTCCAGAGACGAAGTTAAGATCAAAACGTGAACACTAGGACGACCCGTTATGGCCTCACATGTTTATTTCAGAATGTCATATTACATCTTTCTTCAGGAATATATATTATGAAAACGAAGTTGCACCAAAAACTTCTAATAACATGGGGATGTCTCTGGAGGAAGCACTGGATTTCTTACAATGCAAATCGTCCCTCGAAGATGTACGCCTAGAATTCCATTTCGCAATGTTCCCATTGAAAATAAAATGAAAATTAAAAATTTCATAACGCTAAAGGAAAATATAAGAACTTTGTTCAATAAATTATAGTTTTCTTGGGAAGGACTGGGTGCCCGGGCGGTGTCGAAATGGGCAAATGTCATTAGCGATATCCTGCAGGTGATAATTAGACCATCAGAGCATGCTTCAGAAATCATTTGACCTGAGGACCGGAGATATTCAAAATGAGTTCCCGCATTTCAGATCGTTAATTGATCACCTTCTCTTCGACTGTGAGCGAGTCTTCCGGGAAGTCTTCGGCCGTTCCGATGGGACTCATTCTCCAGAACAGGTCCGACTTCGAGTTCCCCGATGAGCCTGACTGGATTCATTCGAAATCATGTGAAATGAGTGAGAGAGGGGAATTCTTTGGGGGGCCTCATTTTAACAGTAATATTTGTGCAGATATTGTTTATCTTCCTCTATCAGTGTGGATGATTCAAGGTCTGTATGAAATGGGATTGCAACGAATCTGAAGTAAGGAAAATGTGGAAAGAAATGGAAAAGAGTTAATTTCGACTCACGATGATGCTTCCACCGAGGTTCAAGGGCAGAAACTGCAATCCATCAATCTGAAATCTAGTGAAGGATATTTCATGATGCATGTTCAGTTTCTGCGCGGAACTTTTCCATATTTAGAGAAATCAATCATATATTTTCATTTTTTAAAAGTACAAATGATTTTCGTGCGCTTGGTACTCCACCTTCTAAGTAGGTTAGCTGCCATGGTGTAGACATCCCAGTAATACGCAATGGGTTGCCGTTCCACCTTCTTGATGAGGCCGATTAGGTTGCCCATGGTCATGGGCATGCGCTGGAATCGGTCCCGGACGGTCCAGTTGAAGTAACAGTTTCCCATCAGGTCCTCCCTCACCCATGCCGGCTGGGCTTCAACGTGACTTAAGTACAACAGTCCTGAAGAACGATTCGGGATTGCGTTTTGAGTACTACTACAAAAAAAGCCTAACAAATGGAAGTCCCCGTGAGGGAGAATTTCGAAGGACGAAAAGCAACGAGTGGCTTTGCGCTCACGAAAAATCCTATAGGATTCCTACGGCAATGTATAGGAATGTATAGGAATGTATAGGGATCCAATAGGATTCTTCTAAGATTCCTATAAGAATCCTATAGATTTTTGGAACATGAAAAACCTGTATATTCCTGTAAGAATCTTTCAGGAATCGTGCAGGAAACCTATAGAATCCTTCAGTTTCCTTATAGGATCCCATAATACCTAGGTATATAATAGAATCCTATGATACACATAGGATCCTATTTGATGCCGTGGAGATTATACAGGCTCCTAACGGTATGCTATAGCAAACTATGTCAAACTTATGGGAATTCTTAGGAATCCTACGGGGTTTTAGTTGGGAAAAAAAAACAGCATTTCCAAAGGACCTTTTCGTAAGGGTATGTAACTGAATCCTAATGTAATGATATCGCCAATCCATTGGCGACGTTGTTAAATTGTGCCTTAACCGTCGGTTTCCCTCTGGGGTCTTTTCTAACCCCGCTCTCAGAAAAAAGTCTACGTTTTCACGGAAATTATTAAGGTTTTATAGTACTCACTGTTTAACATTGTAAATATTACTTTGCAGTATTCCAAATCATAAGAGTACTCATGAATGCCAACAGTAAAAAAAAATACTCCATGAAGAACACATACATGAATGAACATCGTTTTTTCTATTTTTTTCGGGAATTTTATTATTCCTGGCCTGAAAGAAAAACTTGGCATAAATTTGGAAACGGCAGGGGAAGACGAAGAAAAGTTCGTCGTTTGGTCATTTTGCTTTGCAATCCGAAGTTTTGAATGGGTTGATTCAAACATTAAAGGAAACTTAGATTTTAATTTCCTTTGATTCGTGTCTTGCCTGTTCATTCAGAATTTTATCATTTTCGACTGAATCGTGCAAAAATAGGTAGTTGTAGAACATGTACAATTTTGACATTTTCAAACATACTTGAACGTAATTGGCAACTTTTAATTCAAATTTGAAGTAAATCCGCGTAAGAGCATGGATTGGACTGCAAAGTCTCAAGTTTGAACTTTTTCCAGGATTCATTTTGCACGATGATGTCGAACTCACCGATGAGGACGGTGAGGACAGGCATCTCATGGGATCCTGGAAAAAAAATCACAAAAGTCACAAAAATTGGCAAGTTTTCATGATTGGCGATGAAGTGACGGTTGCGCCAACTTTTATCGTTGTTCGGATTTTATATACACCGCTCATTTCGTAGCGTTTATGCGCAAGGCGTGGACATAATGCAGAATAAGTGAGAATATAAATCTATAGGTTTTGTAAATGATTATATAGTTCGATATCGCGGAAAAGAATTGGCAAAATAAAAGTCGGAATTTGAATGTCATGGCCTTGATGGATATATTAGATCGCATAATAATCATCCTTGACTCTCGGCATCGAACAAAAACCACTTGCTGCTCCAAAGAAGCTATGGCTGCTGTTTCCTCAAATTTAAATTTAAAAATTTGCTGAATGGCTGGCTGGTTAGCGAGACTCGCAAAATGAAATTTCAGGAAAAGTTTGCATCGCTTGCTCGTGTTGGAATTTTTCTTGAAACCGCAAATACGTCTCTTAGGGAGTCAAACTAATCTTTCACTGACAAAGCAAATCTCAAGATTGCAATAAAATGAAAACTGGAACCTAACGCCGAAAAAGCTGCGAGAGGTGAGAAGGACCAGGTCACTCACCTGCACCGTCGTCCACAATTGCAAGTCCCCAAACCTCAGATTCTCTCGTATTGCCCTGCTCTCCCTGCTCTCCTTGCTCTCCCTGCTCTCCCTGCCTTCCTTGCTCTCTCAGTTCCTCCTCACTTCAATCTACCAGGAGGAACAGACTTGTCTAGTGTGCTTGCCTTGTTGAACTTGGACGAGGAAACGGAGTAAATAATATTCCATGTTTGTTTTCTTTCTTGGTGTTTCGGCAGGTGGAAACGAGCAGTGTTTATCCCGGATGTTGAAGGAAGATTGAATAAACATAATTTTCACGAGAAAAAGAGAACGAAAGTAAACGCCGCTGTTTGCCCTTGATTATAAGGTTTGGAAAAACTGGAACATTTTTCTAAAAGTGTGTCCGGGGTTGATTTCCCTTCGCATTCGTGTCCAAGTCATATCATGCACAAACATGGTCTCCCTTATGAATGAGAAGAAAGACTTGACAAGTCAAACTGTAATGATTCCTTAGACGCAAGAAAAAAATGGAACTGGAATTCCGTCAGATGCCCTACTGATAAGGCAACTACGGCGGACATGGAAATTCCAACAATGCAGTTTCGATGCGTCACCGCCCTCGTGGCATATGATCATGATTCAACATTGATTCAGCCTTGGTTCAACGTGCGGATGTTGAATCACCGTTGAATCAATGTTACGCTATACAAATAATATGCTGCTAGGGCGAAAGTAAATAAAATTTGCACCAGTCATCGGAGATAATTTTGCATTTTTCTCTTCGTGGAAGAGGAGTTGGAGGCAAGCTTTCGATCGGAACGAGAAACTGTAACGTTTTTCATTTCCCGAGGAACGGTCGACATAGACGAGACGAGTGAAAATCGTCGAAGCAGGTGGCAATCTCCTTGCATTTGCGGGATCCCCCGAGGAAGGAGGAAACGAACTCAGAAAGAGGAAACGCACGAGGCGCTTCAGGCTGGAGTCCCTACTGACTTCGGAAGAGGCAAGGAAAACCCTGGGGGAATTTTCCCCGCTAAGCCAGGAAACACGGCACGTTTCCCGCCCCGAGGGAAAGGTGGAGTTCCGGTTCCTCGACATGACGGATGTCCCTGTAATTTAGTCATTTATTTTCACTTCGCCTTTTGAGCTCCCCGCTCGCGATGCGACGCGTTGGAGCGATATGTCTCGAGGGAAATATTGTGATGTGAGGATTACCTTTTTTTTACCTTTTACATTTGGGTCTTCTGGGTACATTCGTGCCGCTTAGCGTCACCAAAGAAATTCATGCTCTGACAAAGATGGTTGTGCATTCATCTAAGAATTTACGTTACGCGCGAAGGACTGCATCTGGGAAACCGTTTGCCCCGAGAACCCAACTCATGAAATGATTGACGAAATGATTAATTAATGACGAGAGACCGATGAAGGGAGTAAGGAAACTTTCCTATCTCCCCTACCGCGCGCTACATATTTCCTTTTTTCCACCTTTTTCCGTGCCCTCGTCAGTTCTTCAGAATCTCGCTTCCGAAACCCGCCAGTTGGCCATCGGTGGCTCACATTTCTAGTAGCACATTAAATCAGCATTGATTCAATGTAGTTTAAACATCCAGATGATGTATCAGCATTGAATTCATACAGTTTCTATGTTATGTGCTACAATGATTGTTGCTTGTAAAACGTAAGAAATTCCCTAAATTGCGCGGAGGAATTGCTGAGGATCTACTCATTATCGTATGATGTTTGCAGTCTCTTAGTTTCATCTCAGACGATCTGCAGCATTCGATTTTGCCATGATTCGTTTCAATTTTTCTCTGAATAATTTCACGTTTTTCCGCGGAACTACTATTACGTCCGTCGTCGTGCAATCTTAGGACTGGACGCATTTTTACGTTCATCAGATCGAAAGACAGCTACCAAGACGGTCGATAATAAAAAATTTCAGCGGGAAAAAAATTTCCCCGAGATAATGACAGACGATAAAACGACGATATGTGTCGCAAAATCTCGATCCCGCCTTTAAAAAAATGTTCAAGCGACCCGTAGCTAACCAAAAGGAGATCCTCCCCGAGGCGACGCGATTATTTCCTCTCCAGAAGGAGAGAATTCCTTCCCCGAAGTGGCCGTGGGGCCGCTATTACGTAGGGGAATGGCCGCAAAGCTTTCAGTCCACATGCACGTAATTTGATCACTGAACGATGTTCAACTGATCATGACACAGACTCAGGAAAAGAAATCTAATGCGCTACCACTTTGAACGGACTTGAGCCACTGAACTGGTATAGTGGTGGGGCACTAACGAGACCTGTCGAGACATGTCACAGCAGGCACAGGCCTGTTGTTCATCTCTTTCCTATTCAGGTAGATAACTTATTAAGTGCAATCTAATACTTTAATTCGAAGAGGTCAAAAGCTGTGTTGGTGGTCGAGGCTGTCACCCCCAGCGCGCTAGGCCTACGAGACTATGTCACTTCAGGCCATACAGTAGGCTAGGCCATCCACCCTTTAAAGCGCCAGGTCGTTGAGGCTATACTATTTTAGGCCATAGGCTTGGCAATCCGAAGCTTTTAGCGCCAAGTCTATCGAGCTATATCATTCTGAGCCATAGGCTTCATACTTAGCTGTGTCAATCAAAGAGTGGTAATAACTGAATGCGTCTCACGTTTTCACTGATCGACTGCAACTTCTTCATTTGAATACATTCTTTGCTGCGGTGTTTTTTTTTCTGTATATACATTTTTTCCCGTTAGGTCAGGCGTGGCGGTTCGGGACATCACTTCCATCCAATAGTTTTCTGTTTGCGTTTCATATCATGGCGGAATTATTTGAGTTCTCATGATTGATGAAATCAAAATAATAACGTAAGTTGTTCGTTTCATACGTCGCGCAAATGGGCCCCTCCTCCCATCAACATGGTGGCGATTTTTGCGAGGTGAGGTTGAACGTGAAAAAAAATGTCGAAGGAGGTCCCACAGGACGTGCGAAGTGCTTAAATCGGTGCTAGCCGTAATGGCTAAAATCAGTGATGAACAGGAAGCAGATGAGCGTAGAGCCGCATAGACCGCTGAACAGCAAAAGGCAGCGAATGCTGAGCTCCGGAATAAGAAAGCCGTGCAGCCTGCGAGTAATTTGATGCAAGGAACGCAGCACTCAGGTGACCGAAGCCAGGGGGACGGCCGGGAATTTAACAGGTCCTCCTGCTTGCCGGTCAGGTGTGCTACCATTACACCACGGAACTATGGACATTTTGTCAGGCCTCTCCATGTCACCTCAATCATTACAGTTGTTTGTCGCAGCGAGCACTGTCAGGCTGTACATTTTGATGTAGGAAGGAGGAATTTGTTTCGCAACGGAAAAATGCTCCTGCTGCAACTCACACTTTAGCACCAGTGAGGAACACTTTGAGAGCCTCAGGGTAATGCGGTGGCGAGGCATTTTCTGGAATTAGCCACTAGCAATGTGTCGCGCATGCACTAAATTCCCTCTGTGCCTTCGAACAAGATCTGGGAAATGGTCCGTATTGTTTCAGAATCATTGGTGTATGTACCATATGCTAACGCTAATAGCCCATGAGCTAATCTGTGATGCAGGAGTATTGAATGTGCTTGGGAGACGGAATCAGCAAAGTCGTCTTGAGTCTCATAGAAACGTGCTAAACCGAGGCGTTCACAATGGCGATTGTGCGAATCAGCCGGAATATCATGATGATGGGATTTAGGAACAGAATCTCCCAGAAAATGTAATGAAGCGGTTCAGTTCCGAATGGGTAATGCGATGAAAAGAGGATTCTCAAGGAGACGTTATGCTCACAATAGACGATTCAAATTTCCACCTATAAGACGGCCAACGTAGCGGCCGCAGGCCGCTAGTGAATACTTTAATTCGTATTTCATTTGAGCCTAGGGATAACTTTCCTCGCAGATTGAAATGTTGATTACAGGATTTTGGCCAAATCTAAATATATTTATCTGCAGAGCATCAGCAGCTCCAGGCCTGGAAGGCTCTTTCGTGCTTCTTGAAGTTGATCCAATGTTTTAAATACCATGTTTTAAATAACATGAAGAGCTTAGCAAGAACTAAAAGCCCAGCAAAGACACCCGGAAATGACACACACGAAAGGCAGGCAATCGAGACGGCAATATATTTGCAAAGTCGTTTTACATAACCCTGATTTGCTAAATACTTATGCAGGATAATTTAATGTGAATAAAGAAAAAAAGATGAAAACTCCATTTAAAAGTCAGAATTTCTAAGAAAAAATCCACGAAGGTTCGCTGTTGTTTTTGGATTCGTTACAAGATCTCCCGTTAGTAATAAATAATAAAATAATCAAGCATTTAGAAGTTTTAATTAAGTTCCTGAACTTCAATGGAGGGGAAATATAATAATGTTTTCAAATAAAAAAAAAGCAAAATTACTTTGACTCCCTGTATCCTTCGGCTTTGAGCCGTACTTGCACGGAAAATAATACTAATAAACTATTATTTTTTTAATTAAAAGTCTAAGAGACCCCGTATAGCAAAACCCGTTGAGTTTCTCCAATTAATAATTTTTCCCACCATATTTGAAACATGTAGAAAGGCTAAAAATGGCACCGAACTACGTAAGGAAATGCTGAATCGTAAGCAAAACTCTGAAAATAGGGCTACATACCCTTGGGGAGCTTTTGTTAAAAGAAACACTGCCCAACATATTTTTTTCGCTGTGTTCTATTATAAAGCCTAAAAAACAAAGCAAGACGCATAATTTGAGTATTTTTCAACATTTGAATTAAATTATATGTTGCTACTCCAAGATTTATTGGCTAAAGGTACATTATACAAAAGTAAACTTTTGTGAATAAGTTTTCCATTCCATCGATCAACTATAGAAAGTAGGAAGATTAAGTGGAAGTACTTTTCTGCGTAATAGTTTAATTGTAATTTCTGCCTTCTAGATTTATCCTCTCGTAACATAGGTTACATGTTTAAAACAAAGCATTTTCTACTAAAGAACCGCATCACCTTGGTTCCTTTACTTCCGCGACATGGTTACCCAACAAATTCGTGGTGTGTGTGCAGATACGTCTCGCGATGACGTCAGCACCAGAAGACCAAGAACAGCAACATCAAGGAACGAGAGGAGCTGCCGCCAGGCCTTGCTTTCCCTCTTCATACATACTCAATGCGATCTACAAGCCGGACATGGATGGACTCGATCTGGGGCAAGATCAGAACCTGGCAACTGTTGAACTCATTGTGCAGGAGTTGGTTGCTTTCGCTGAACATACGGAGAAAACTCTGGGAAAGCCTGGGAGACAGAGACTGAAGGGGATTTCTCCGAACTCCTCCTTTGGCGAAAGCTTCTTGAAAGAAAGAGAGGTGGTCCTTCTCAGGATTGCATGCGACGAGCTGAAACGATCCCATGGATCTGCTGCTGCTGCGGAATTTTTCATCCGGAGGGAGACGAATGGCAAGGGAGAGGAAGACCGAGAGGAAGAGATCCGTGTTGTGCGGATTCAGTGGCTTCCAGAGTTTGGGTGCGCTCTTCTCTATGAGGCCGGGGCTCTTCAGTCAAGAGAGAGAGACGATCTCGTAAGCATCAAGCTTGTCTGCATCGACAGCTGGCGAGTTCAGATCCGAACACAATCGAGGGGCAGACCCATCATGGATGCGCTCGCGGCGGAGGAGGGGCCGGCGATTCTCTCTTGTGGAGAGATAGAGAGAGGAAATGTTGGCCAGTGTGTTCAAACAGTCGTTGAGGAAATAAGAGCAAGCAAGAAGAAGCACATGACGCCTGGGTTCATCCAGAAGGTAGTAGTTAAAGCTCTGCAAAAAATTCGCGGTGAGACCGACGACGAGAGTGGGATGCATCGCGACAGCTCCTCTTCGTCTGGCGCTAATCTGCTAGGAGACTTCGCCGACGTGGGAAAGCGTTCAGGCCAGGTACTAGAACGCTCGACCTCGTGGCCGCTGGTGACGAGTGTGCTCCTGGAGCTGCTACGGTTGCGAACGGAAGATGCAGAGGAGATCTTCGCCAAAGCCATCTTGTTCTTTCATCTCTTCCTTCTCAGAAAGGTCCTCCCTCAGCTGCAGACTGAGGGGGCAGGAGGAGGAAGAACGACACGAGGGGGAAAAGGAGCAACGGAGCACGCGAAGCTTGGCACCTTTCAGATTTCCATGGCGATGATAATTTTGGAGGAGGTATGCGATCGCTTGGATGTCCTGCCTCTGCCGCAGGAGGAAATGAGAGCCATCTACGAGCATGTAGTGAAGGAGTCGTGCAAGGCAAGAGAGATTCTAGAAGTCATCCACAGGAGATTTGACGACCAGCAGGAAGAGAAGCACAAGCTGCCTTCCAGTGAAGAAGAGCTTGAAGGGGTCGAACTCCGTGTCCCAGGGACAGAGAAGGCAGCCGAGACTGAGAGTGGTGGAGGGATACCAGCTAAGGAAAGGGAAAGCGTCAGAAGCCGAGCGATCGAGTCGAGCGAACAACTCGACATACTCCGAATCGATCGAAATATTTCAGGTCTCGTAGGTCATCCTGCGTCGAGAAGCACCGTCCGCCAATGGCTAGAAGATGTGAGATTAAGCCAGTCCATTTCCGATGATCTGATGAGAGTAAAGCTTCTCTCGCAGATGAATGTCATCGAGCAAGACTTCTTTGCAGCGGCCATTCTTCGCCTGGGAAGTGGAGGGGAAAGAGAAGAAGTCTTGCGTGAGAGCAACCTGGAGGGGATGGAGGATTTAGAGAAAATCGTTGAGATCTATCTAGCGTTTGTAGATTCGTGGCTGAAGAATAAAAGCACAGCCACGCCTCTGCTCGTCACGAGAACTCGGAGCAACAGGCTCCTGGTCGTCTGGATCGCCACCGCCTTACTCTTCCAAGAAACCAGATCCATGTTCCCGGAGGAGATGAGGGGCTACACCATTCCGCTGGACTTCAAGGACCTGCGCCACCTGGTGTGCGAGGACAAGGCGGCCATCGATGCTTGTCTCTCCTTGGCAGGATTCCTTCGCGCTGAGAGCCGGAATAGCCAAGCCATCTTCTCCCCCAGGCAGCAAAAGGAGACGATGGAGTTCGCCAATAGATTCGTGCAGTGGGAGGTTTCGCTCGCAGCCGAGCTGAAGAAGGAGAGGCAAGCCCAGAACATGAAGGTTGACGACAAGTGGCAGACTTTCCTGGAGAAGAAGAAA